AGGCCATTGTGACGACAATTTTGATCTCCTATGATCTCATATTTAGCGCTTTCAATGCATCTCACTGCGATGATAGCAAATATTACCAAGCACCATTCATCACGTACGTTTCGTCTCGACAGAAACGCTGGAATAGAATTGATTTATAACACTTTGCTGCTGTATATCATACTTTTTTGTAACCTATTTCTTATCAATTTAAAACATTTGTGCAAATAAAGAACCCGTTTGAATTATTTGTTAAACTTTTTAATCTATGTCGCCATCTTTGCAGTGTAAAACACGACAAGTCAGTAAAGGATTGAGTAATAAATGATACTGACATATTAAATCAACGAATTATCGTTCTATTATTATCGCATAAAGAGATCGTTAAATTCAAATTTATGTTACGTATCCATAAAAAGCAGGGAATGTATGGTGTTGCGACAAAAGGGACGTCACGATCTTTCAGACGATTAACGCCTATCCATGCAGCAAAGGTACTCCCGAAAACGTCGAAACTTTTTCCTATATATCGCATTTATTTTACGACTCCCACCATGGCGATGATAGTCTCTTCGATTTATATAGGTATTGCATTCAAAGCTTTTTTTTACGATTTCGTGTCTCCTCGATTTCTATACGTGAAAAATGTAAATAAAAAATCTTTGTCAACGTTTTATATTTTTGTCTACATTTTGCATAATTAATTTGAATTTGTAAGACATTAATATATCAAATTATAAGGCTACACTTTCCGATAAAGTAAAAGTTTGTTCTTAATACAGATATTTCTCTCTCACAATAATTATTGTACAAACTAGCAATAAAATAGTCACTTAAAAAAAAGATTCAGTTCATCGATGAATTCATGTATCGTTAAAATATTTTGCGAGAGTAAGTTCTTTAGTATAATAAAAGTGTTATTGTAACAAGAAGCAAACAGCAAACACGCAATTATGTCAAAACTCTCTGGTCTGCTCGTCATTATTTTTTAGCAATCGGTTGACATCTCATAAAATAAGTTGTCGATCGATGTATTCTCACGCAAATTACGTGCCGGGACATAGTCGTAACACAGATTAACTCGACGCACCTTAAATGGATGGCAAATAATTTTGGGGTGTGCAAAGCAATACGTGTATCGATTAAACGTATCTCACTTGTAATCGACATACGACTTATGGTTAATGTTACCAGTGGTTCGCTTCTACTTTGCATAATTCACAAAAGCACCGACGCGTATTTTAAACCGTTCAATTACGCAGCGATCGTATCGCTATGTGATCGTATCAGAACGATATCGTGAATCGATGCTCTGTCCATAATGTATTCTAGCGGCTCGATCGCCGTGCAGTAAGTACCACGGACGTGCGAAAACCTGTCGTCAAGATCAATTTCATGGTGATAAAGTTTTTAATTTTATAGCTGTCGTACAGAAGCAACATTTTTGCACGTTCCAAGCCCCCCCCCCTCTCTCTCTCTCTCTCTCTCTCTCTCTCTCTCTCTCTCTCTCTCTCTCTCTCTCACTGTGCTCTAAATTTTCCTTTCTTATTATCATTTCTTAAAAATTCATTAAAATCGATAAACCTGACGAGTCTTTCGCCAAGAATTATGTGAGAATCGACTATATTTTAGGTTTCTTTACCAAAATTAAATCTACTGCTTTTACATAGTCGTGTACTTTTCGAAAAATTTCACCCACGATTAATCTAGCCGAAGCTTACGCCTATCTCCCAGTTTCGGCAAGTTAATGTTATATTATTTATGCGAAGAATTTCATGACGATTCAACTTTGCTCAGAGCGTAACACAACCCGAGCATAGATATAACGATGAGAAAACTGCGTCAACCGCTGGCAGATGCAGATAAATCAAGGCTTCATCTTGTTTCACAGTAAATCCCATCGCAAACCTATTGCCCACGGAAGCACGTGGCGAACCCAGGGGAACGAGGGGATTGGTCCACTCGTTTCCCCTACGCAAGCTCAGTTCGAGGAGCGCGCGTCTCCTCTGGTCCACCTCTGATGAACCCAGTCGGCGTTTGGCAACGCGTCTCTCATCTAGCGTGCCAACGATTCCTCCGATCGGGACACGCGATACGGGGAATGTGCGGGGAAATTAACGCCATTATCGGATAAATTGTTTCAGAAAAGTGTGCGTCGCTCTCGTCGTAATTCAATGTATAAAACAATATATCGTCTCTGATAAAGTCACGCTATAAAGTCTCATCGATTTAAATGAAAAGAGTCTGGCAGTCTGTTGGGTCTAATAATAAAATATAATTCAGCATCCGATACGGTGCAGTAATTAAGCGATAAAATTGACATAGAATTTTGTGTACGGGTTATTAACTGGGGAGAGACGAAAAAAGAAAGGGAAATTGTTATTTCGGAAGATCTCTAGTAAGGTGACCGTGACGGGTATCGTGCGCATTTCGGGTATCATTGTTTCGACGAGATCCCGCGGCACGTAGTATCGTTGACCCCCTTACGTTGAAACTGGCCGTATGGCTATATTTTTATCGTGGCAACGTTACCGGCACGCAAATTATAGTCGAGTTTCCCCGGATTCGCGTTGGCGGAATGTTACGTTAAATCTTTCCGATTGTATCATAAATTATCCGAGTGCGTTTCAAATATAACCTTTGTCATTCGAAACTTTCGGAATATGACGTCATTCAATATTGATTTCTGCTAATTAATTTGTGTCGACTTTGAAAAAGTTACTTTACGATCTGCAACTGAAAACACAGTAAAAAAAGTCTGAAGTCAAGTTCGAGAAATATAAATGTCGGGAAAAAATAATTTCCTGGAAAATATTTTTTTTTAACCACAAACGCGCATTCAAAAGAAATGTATTTCACGTATACGCCACATTTTAAATTGTTATATTCAAACTCAGGTGTTATTCTATTTAAATGCTAATTAGATTATTTGATTATCATTTATTTATATTAAAATATCCCAAATTTAATGAAAAATGTATTTTATACAGAATAGAGGGTGCAACTGCGTCCTAAAATTCAGCTCCGCTTTAAAATTCCTCCCAGTTTAATCCAATCAAATAAAGGAAAATGCCAAAGCGGTTTAATTCCGGGACCGGAGAAAGTGTCTCCAGCAAAAGTTCCTATCGCGTGCAACTGTCACGGCAAATTTCCTTGAATGCGAGAATATTAGATGCGAGATATACGTGAGCGCGTAAGTTGTTCGAAGCGATGCGAAGTTACGGGTCGTTTACCCTCTCTCGAAATTACACAATCGCTGAATTAGCAGGACTGGCCGTGCTAAAAGCACGACGTGCTCCGACGTCCCTCGTTTTCCATCCTCATTTTTTCCTTCTCTTCCTTTTTTTTATTTCCTTCTCGGTTATGTCGGATTCGTATCCGCCTCCCACTCACTATTCTGCAAGCCCCTTTCGTTTCCTTTATAAGCCCTGTTTGCCTAGCTTTTAGCATAATGCACTTACAAGTGTATATAACCACTGAACATGCTACGAACGCCATTACGACGATAAAACTCACGACTAGAAATTCGCATTATCTCACGGTCGGCAGTTAACTCTGTCGATTCCGAACTTAATTCCTTAACATCCTCTATATCTGTCCCTTTAATATTAAATACCGCGAAATGCGATTTACATCATTAAACAATAGATTTAATGTCTACAAATTCTTTGTTGTATCATTTATCTAAAAACCTGTTCGCTTTATTTGTTAACTACCCACAATATTAATAAGATAGAAATAAATAACGAAACAAACAAAAATTAAATCTAGAAACGTTGCATTAAATTGCTGCTATTACCGACTTGCTCGTAATTTAACGCCACGAAAAATCATCAAATATTCGATCTTAATCTCATACCGTATCAATCTAACGTTTATTTCCGTTTTCAGTGCGTTATAAGACAAGTGAAAATGCAAATTTGCAATTGATATTTAAATTGCAATTAAACGAGCACGCCGAGAGTAATCAATAAACTCGTCTTATGACAAACATCTGGTAAGAATGAACGTTACATCGGTGCCGAAGAAAATAATCGCGTATTATTGTCAATGCCAAAAAGACTAGTCGTTCTCGAAATCACGGGATGAAGAACCGTGAGCGCAACGGAAGGATTGTTCAAAGTCCCGCTTACGAGGACAGTGGGGTTGCGATTTCCGGCGAACTCGGCGAGCCTTCTTTTTCCGGGGAATGCGAGGGGATAGCGTCACTTCAAGCGCCTAAGGGAATTGAAGAAGATGCGAATCCTGATCCTAGGTTTGAACATACAAACTGTTGCAAACTGGAATTTTCCCGCGGAGTAAATTGAAAATAAAATATATCGCGGATTTAACTGACTCTGCCGCTTGTATCGATCTCTGATTTCTTCCTATTAAAACATAAGTCGCTTCAAATTGATCGAAGAAATTTGTTTCCTTAGTTTAACAGTAGAGAGTTTCTTATTATGAGACACCCAGTGTGACACCAATTTTGAATCAACGTCGAATCGACGTCAATGGGATCGAAACCGCTAGTCCCAACCGTTAGTTCTCGAAAATAATTAAGTTTTGAAACGTTATTTTTTGTATTAAGTTACTACGTTCTGAATACTTTTAACATCTTATTAGAGAGAACTGCCAAGTTAACTTATTTAATACAAAAAGTAAAGTTTCAAAAATTTTAATTATTTTTAAAACTGACGGTCGGGACGCGGTTTCGACTCTATTGACGTCAATTTGACGTTGATTCGACGTTAGTGTTCTCACTGGGTAGTCCTATAAGAGATCCAATAAAAGATAGCGGGGCTTCTGCTAAATTAATAGACATCATCTGTTGGTTCCGCCATATATTTATTGCCCTCGGAATGAAATCTGTGTAGTGACAAATTTATTGATCACGCGTGTTGCGAAAAAGATACGTGAAATCGGATGCTGAAAACCTGCTATCTTATATTAGGAGTCTATCTCATAATAAACACTTTCCCCGAGTAATACAGAATATTTTTAAATTAATATCAGATAATACTTTAAAATTAATATCTATTGTATATTTTTTTACACTTCTGCCTTTCTTTTAACCAATTATGAAATTATTCGCGGTTTCCATGAAATCTAATCGTATTTCCAACGTGAATGTTGTTTAACTGCACAGTTGAAAAATTTGTATTCAATTTAACAGATATCATTTGTCTCAAACGGTCCACATAAATTTTTGTGTTAATTTAACATAATATGGATATGTTAAATAATCACACTAACACTCTGTTAATATTTTACCGTAAAATCAATGCAAATCTCAGAATAATTTGAAATAAATTTTGTGTAAAATTAACATATTTTTCATGATAAAATAAATTTTTTAAATGTAATTTTTACATTTTACGAATGTAATAAGTCAAATGACGGTTCGAAATCACTCTCACTTATGTTATATAGAATAAAATCGACATTTTATTCTGTAAATTTTAACAGATATATTTTGTTACTCATAAAATAGAACATATGTATTGTGTCAGATTAAAAGATATGTACACATTGTGTTGTTTTAACATTTCTTTTTAAATATTTTAATAATTTTACATTTGAGGTCAATTAACAAAAGAGCAATATGTGAAATTAACACATGAATGTGTTAAACGTTTAACACGAAAATTTCAACCGGCATTTTTTTAACAAGAAAATCCAAATTTTCCAACTGTGTGTGTAATGCGACGTCGGTCAGATGTGATGTTTGAATCTCGTATATATGCCAGGTATGTCGCGCGTTGTACCATAAGACAACATTATTATCCTGAAAATGGTTGGGGCTGGGTCATCGTCATAACGGGTGTCATGGTGCAAATTCTCGCCACGGGAATACATGGGGCCGCCGGGGCTTGGTTACTGCTCGATGGGGCAAAGCGATATCGTCAGACTCTTCTTAACGTAGGTATGTGACGCAACAAATGCGCAATTATTAACAATATTTCTTGTTCACTTGATTAGAGAAGGTGATCGTTTTACACTAAATTGTATGGCACACGAATTAAAGAATATATTTGAAACTTGCTTCTCGTGCGAATCCAAGATAGACAATATTTTCATGTTTGTGAGTTACTTTTTTAACAGATAAAATATATACTTCCGCAATTTTTAAGTATTATTTTTCTTTATAATTAAATCATAAAGACGTAATAAAATAATATTTTTTAATATGTAAAAAAATTATAAAAATAAAAGATTTTGATTTTTATAAGATAAATATATATTTTTCTAGCAGATTCTTAACATTGTAACAGTACTTGAGTTTGATAATATATACAAAACAAAAAATATTTTACGAAGTGATAAAATCAAGTTTTTCATTTATATCTTAAAGAGACGTAAACGTGTTATAAAGATAATAAATAAAATTCATATATTAAAAGTTCATTCAGTAAAATAATATTACCTATTTCCGATACAAAACGTCGAAAATATAGTTTCAGCGTTTTATCAGGAAAGAAACGAAACATAAGGTCGTATTCTCAAGTGGTTTCCAATACTTCTAAGCACAACGCCAGCAGCATTTTCAAGTTGCCTCTTTAAGAGCTCGCCTCGTATTATTACTCGCGAAGGATTGCGTCACGAGCGGATTATTATCGTCCTCGTAAACGCGAACCTGCCAGCTGCGATTTATTTTTAATGTTTTTTGCGTGTTGCCATACCTTTGAACCTTAACGAGTTTCATTCATTCTGCGATATGAAATTATGTTCTGAAAAAGTTCTGTAATTTTGACGATAAAAAGGAACAAGGACCCAAGCAAGCAAGTAAAAAATGGATTATGTTCTTTTAGCAAGAATCTCAAGCACTTAAAAAAAACAAAAGATATTCTAATTGATTTATTTTATCTTGCAGAATGTAATGAAGGATACTTTACTATCTGTTTTTATATGTTTAAAATGTACAGAATTTTGTCTACATTCTAGATATAAATCTGTTATCTTATTAATGCGAATTGCGTTATAAGGATTGATGCTACATATCATAAATTTTTGTTATCTCAATTTCTAATTGGACAATTATGAAAAAAAACACTAGTCAATTTAAATTATTCTAAATTAAACGTTCTAATCAATTTTATACTTAAAAATATTTATGTAAGAAGCTAAACTCGGTTCTGTTAAAATACAATTTAGAACCAATGATATTATCTTACATATATTACTTAAGTTATTAAACTATATCGCAAAATAGTTACAAAATTTTACAAAATAATATTTTTTCTTCTAAATACAGGAATACTGTTGTAATTTTTTTTTTTGTTAATTTTTAATTGTTTTAACAAGATGCCAACTGATTTTTTATATATAAATCTATTAACTATGTGAAACTGTTTAACCGATTTAGTATAACACTTTGGTATTATAAATATATGTTTTTTTTTGTTAAATTGCATTACTCCACTCAATCGAAAATAATTCTTCTTAATTGTATGACTATGCGAAAAATCAAAAGACAAATACCGGCGACATATACACTTGCATTATTTTGAACCATCCTTTTCGTTCCTTCGAAAGCCCGACAGGACAATTCTTATGAATCTTACAAGCTTCCTTGCCCTTCGCGAAGACAGAGTCGCCAACTAAAACCCCGACCAGTCCGCAAGTCGTTGACCCTGATGATAGTCGCTCTCGTTCTCGCCAATTCACTCTCGCTATCGTTTCACCCACTCCCGTGGACAGGGACAATCTCGGGGGTGAAAAGAACACCCGACGGTCTCGCGATTCACAATAAAGTATTCTGAACCTGATCGCGAAGAGTAGCGGAAGAAGAAACGAAAGAAATGGCGAAGCACGGGGCATTAAGCGGGACAAACATTCCTCTTGAACTTTACGAACTAGAAATTGTCTTGTTCCAGGAATATTTACCACAGCCATACAACTTGTGCCATAACTTTGTTACCAGCAAATGTAAAGTGTATTAAAAGCGAATCTTAAACTGAAAGCTGAATCCTTTCGACATAAAAATATCAATATAAAATACTAAGATTGAAACAAATGTCTACGAAAATATTTTTAAGGTTCTCAATGGAAGCAAAGCATCACCATCCAACAATGTACCAACATAGTGCTATTGCCACGCATTTTTATGTTGAGATTTCACAAGATACCAGAGATTTGCGTGCTTTATCACGTTATCAGACATTTCAATTTGATGGATTTCTGGAGTAACTCTCTGCATACAAATCTCTCTCTTAAACTTTTACATCTCTTTCTCCCTCGTCAACGTCCTAAATGATAATAACGGAAACAGCCTGTGCATATTCCGCGGCGAATCCGAATATATTTGCTCCCTTACTTAGGAGGGAATCCCCAAGGCAGGAATCCCGTCGGCATTCAGAAAAAGAAAGATCCTGCGAAAGGCACGTCTTAAACGATACTCCCACGCGTATAAGTCACCGCTGTTGGTGAGCGATATTTAACGCGCATCCGTCGCCCCGTCGTAGCTACAGCGAGATTAATAACTGCTTCTCCTCGCGCGCGGCGCGGCCCGTTTGTCTCCGTAACTGTCGGGCCGTTACTTGCTCCCGTAATAAAACGTAACTGCCACGATTGATGAGTTCGCGTATCGATGAAATCGGTGACAATTAATTAAACGACTCGGTTCTTCGCGAGGGCGACCTAATCGCGTCCGCTTAATAGCCCGGTGTCTCTATTAAAACGGTCTTACCCGCGATCAAGCGCTCGTTTAATACCTACCGGCGGCTGTAGGTATTATTTAGCATGTTTAGCGAGAACGATTGCGCGACCTAGCGATAGCAAATGAATGAAAGAGATCGCGATAGTTTTTCTTCTAAACCGAAAAATACTGCTGTAAATTTATTTTTTTGTTTTTTTTACAAGACGCCCAACTTAGCCGAAAGTGTTTAACCGAGTTTAACTTAGTATATTTTGGTATTAAATATATGTTTGAGATGCTATTTGGCTGAGACTATCAAATTATCACGACTCTTTCTTAATTTGTTTAGGCCCAGGAAAAAATTTGCCTAGTATCTGGCAGGTTGTGCCTTTTTTTTAATCAACTCATGAAGAAGGGAACACTCAGAGAGTGCTATGACGGGGTTTGCGTTGGTAAATTCTTGGGTGAATTTTTATATACTATTGTCCAAGTTAGCGAAACGCGCGCCGATTATTTGTCGGTTTACAATTCCCTAAAACATCTTTGTGTGACATATATCTTCGGCGAAGATTGTGATATTTGCGACTGAAATATTTACTAGCAAAGATTTTAAATAAATATAATTGCGATTAAAAATATCTTTTGTTTAAAAGAAAAACTTTTATACAACTTATGACAGTTTCATAAACTATTGTTGTTTCCGTGGACTTCCGATACTGCTTCAGAACTGAAGTAGGTGCAAGAGGCGTTCGCGGCTTTATCCCATAGTCAGGCTAGTGATTTATCGATGGGACTTTGTGGTTGCGATCGACGCACTAAACGTCGTGGGGCAAAAATAAGGGGAAAAGAAGAAGAGAGTGAAGTATAAAAGTACAAAGCGTCTCTCTCCTATTCGTTAGCGCGTGATGCGTTTCTCGAGAAGTCCATGGATGCTGTAACTACCATAAATCATTTAAGAGGCGATGGATGACAGCGCATAAACCTTATTGGCCCCCGACTGGCCAAGTATCTGGGATATGGCAATAGCTTACTCAGGAAATACAACGATATATCGCGAGTCGCATAAAGAAATATATGAAGTCGCTGGCTATTTAATCCATTTGCCCAGGCTGGAAACATACTAAACGAAAATTGTGACCCATTCGCTCATGGTAATGAAAGAAATAGATGAGGAAGAGGAAATGGCATTAAAAGAAGAAAATATACAAATACGTATATCGAGAGAAAAGATTGAATCTGAATATTTGGCGCTTAAAGAGGATACCAGTTAAATATTACATGTACCCCGAGATATCTGTTTTCACATTATTCCCAAGCACTTACGATGAAACGACATCCCAAAACAGCGAGCCAATCGATGCGGAGAACAAACAGTCCCCATCGTCATATCGCCAATCGTGGCTTATCCCCTGATCGTAAAGTATCGGTTACGGAAAAGATTCGTCGGATTCTATTACCGGGCGATACACGGCAAAGCGAATCCGATTTACTGCCGACTTGTCGCCCGGAAATCCGCAAAGTGCATCGTCGCAAATCGCGAATCAATCCTTTCTCGCCAACGTTCGTCAAAGAAATACGCGCAACCGGATGGCTCGCATCGATTTTAAATAAACGAGGGAACAAAATAAAAATTGAGCCACAGTCGCGCTGTAAGCGACACACGCGAAAGCGGAAAAGAACAATATGCCAGACGAAATTAGAAACGGGCGCCAGCCGAAGCATCTTGTTATCTACAATATGCGTAACGAAGATCGAAACCTTTTTGGAACAGCCATGCGTGATTTGACTTTTTTATTACGGAGTAGATTGCGAGCGATACACGCGAGTTATATCTCTTTCGGGACCGTCGATCAACGACACGCCGCTGGCGTTCCCGTAAAAAGTTAATAACATCTCCGTGAGGAGACTTCCTACATCGTACAATCATTTTTTCATGAAATTAATTCACATTGTGCAATATATGAATAAATACATAGAGGGTATCCGTATAACGATAAGAATCCGGGGAGGGTATATTATTCCGTGACGGTAAGAATCTGGGATGTTGCATTATTAGGCAGCACTGAACACGGGCACGGAGTATAATTAGTTGTCATCCCACCTTCCTGTAATCATACTCTTTCAGCTGTTTAATCTCGAAGCGTTGCCTACATGTCGTGCGATTAAACAAAATTTGCAAAATGTCCAACGATATTTTCCCGTTTTATAGGATGGCTGGGGGCAATGTCGACGGGTGTCGCTCTGCTCGTGTCGCCGGTTACGATAGCGTTTTGCCGCAGAAAAAGTACGAGAGTAACGGCAGTTTTGGGCGGCCTCGTTACCGCCCTCGGTTGCCTCTTCACTTCTTTTGCCTCGCAATTCCATCAATTGTTCTTCAGCTACGGCACCGTAGTCGGTAAGTAAAGATCGTAAGGTTGACGGAATTCTGAAGAACTATTTGCAATAACGCAATTATAAAACACTGTAAATCCGTAACACTGTAAGTTACTCTTTTGTGTAAACGACGCAAAGTCGCTGAGAGATTAATTGTTTTAATAAATGACACAATTGGCAAATCTTTTTATCTAAATCACTTGATAGCGAATTATTCATTTTTGAATTTAGTTGTAAAATGATAATTGATACATGTGCAATACACTATAAGTAATGATAATGAGATAATGACAAACTATGAGATCTAACATTAATTTTGATGTTTGCAGAGAAAAATTTATGTCGCAATTTATACAGCGCCACAATGTTAAATGTTATTATTTTAGACGCTACATATCATCTTTCTTTATCTTTGTCTATATCATATTACGAGTATATTGTCTATATTGTTTATATACTTGTTAGGAATATTAGTTCCATCCATTTCCACTCTAACTTTCCCTCTCGCGGGGAACTTTGCTAGAGCCAACTACAGGCATCAATTTCGCAGAAGAGTCGATGAAAAAAAACGATATTGTTATCCGATCCTACGAGCAAACTAAGTATAGCTATAACGATTTGAACCATCAGTATATTCTCCCCCCATAGGGATTGGAGTTGGAATGACGCGAGACTGCAGTACGCTGATGGTGGCACAGTATTTCAAGAGGAAGAGAGAATTGGTCGAAATTTTTATTGTCTCAGGGAGCGGCCTTGGTATAGCAATCATGTCTGCTTTTATAAAAGGAGCAATCACGTACGTACATGTTGCATTACAATCTATATTATCAAGAATTTATTTCAATGGACTCATTGAAACTTTAACAAAACGAAATTCATCACGTTAATTTTTATCACCGTGTATATTAATGAAATATTGTTTCCAAAAGCATTCTTGGTTACAGAAAAGCCCAAATTGTTAGATAAAACAATAATTGACTCATTTCTGATTAGAAACTCTCAAAATAATCTTCCAAGCTGAAAACAATATTCATATTATTATTGTTTCACGAATACACGAGTCCACTTATCTAGAAATATTGCACTTAATCGTTGCATGTACTAATTATAATGTCACCATGAAATCAGTCAAAGTTCACATAAGAACTTTTTTATTATAGTAAAATCGGGTGGCGACTTGGTCTTCAAGCTGTCACGGGGGTGGTCTTTCTCACCTTTATTCTTGGCACTTTTTACCGTAGCGCTTCGCTATATCATCCCCAACGAAGAGCGATCTTACACTTGAAGAATCAAAAGCGCAAGATAAAGGACAAGAACAAAGCTGATAAACCACCGTTTTTCGATTTTAGCACTTTGAAAAGCAAAACAGTGCGGATTCTTTTGGTATCTACCGGCATTTCGGCGTTTGGCATCAATACACCAATATTTTATCTGGTAATGACGAATGAATTTAGAAGCGCGCGTGCTCTATCTACTACTTCTATTTTTTATTCAATAACAAATTGAAACAGGCTTCCACATATGATTAGCGTAAAGAATATTTTTAATTAACACTTCTAATTAACACAAATATATACGGAATTCTATCAAACCAGATCTCCAAAATATAATTTGATAATTATGCATAAAAGGAGCCTCCCCTCCGATTTCATTAATTTTTTTATATGTTATGGGGGGGAGGATCTTCCCAAGTAATTTCATGTATACATGTATACAATATATATAAGGGTCGGACTCAATTAGTTTCGAAGATATAAGCTAAAAAAGGATAAAAATAATAAATACAAAAATAAGCATTTGATAATAATTTCTTCAACATTAATTAGGAATTGGAAAGATTTCAGTCATTGCATCGAAAAATGCAGTAATCCGTGTATCAAAGTTATATTTACGACGAAACAGAAATTCAAATGTAGTGAATTCACTACAGGGTTTCTTGCTCGAAGGAATAATTTCTTATTGTAGAAGCATTTAATTTAGAACCGTTACGACGTGTAGACGTAGTTGGTGGTGAAAATGACGATAAAGACAAATTCTCAGCATTTATAGACCTTCAGAGCCAGTTAAGAAGGATAGTAACGAAGACCAACTTATTCCAGAAGAATCTATAAATGCTGAGAATTTGTCTTTATCGTCATTTTTACCACCAACTACTTTTACACGTCGTAACAGTTCTAAAATAAATGATGCTTCTACAATAAGAAATTATTATTCCTTCGAGCAAGAAACCCGTAGTGAATTCACTACTTGTTGAATTTCTGTTTCGTCGCAAATATAACTTTGATACACGGATTACTGCATTTTTCGATGCAATGACTGAAATCTTTCCAATTACAGCACCCCATACAGCACATGATATCTCCCGAATATTCTGTACTCGTACTGCAAATATACGTACCGAATATAACGTACTTCGAATATTACTAGAATATCTCTAGTAGTATGTTATACCTCATAAATTCTTAGGAAGTACTTGTAGATACATTTTATTGGTTCCCCTTAGGGTTACAAGGGCGTTTTTGAAGGA